ATCTTCTCACTGGGCTTAAGGAGAGTTCAGTGGAAACCGATTAAACCTTCAAACACAATAAATCACCATAAAAAGGATGCTCACAGGATAGTCATGCGTGTCTCTTTGTTCTACCAATTTATATGGTCACAAACCTGCTTTCGGGTTTAGCTGAATTTATGTATCTTGTTTGCATCTCCACCGGAGGTTGTGCAAAATAAAACAAATAAAACCTGATGGAAGTCATGCCTCTCATCCCCTTTGTTTTGTGAAAAAGATTTGGTATTATGTTATTTAAACAGTTCATTAAAAAGTCTGTTTACACCCACACTCAAAGTCGGGGGGGAAAAGTGATAATATGGGGGAGCTATTACTTAAAATAAGCCAAATTACTGTATCTGCCAACAGAAGAGCAAATTTTACTTACCAACATTGTGAGAAACATGTAAAAATATAATCTCAAGAATCACAGCTGTCTTACAATCAATTAAGCTAAAAAAACAAGTACCCTAAAGTATCTGATACAAAGTCATTTTGTGTTTGTCAGTGAAATGTTCCAACATAAAACCCACCTGGTAAGAAGAAATGTCTTGTCAGACAAAAAACAACAACAAAAAAACAACTTTGATTTATGACATTTCATTTGACTTGATTTCACCTTTTGCAGCACTGAAACAGGAACATTTTCTTTAAATATCAAAAGGTGTTGACTTTTGAATCTTTGGACCACCAAATACATTTTTAGGATTTTTTTTTTATCCATTCCTCAACCACTATTTCGGCAGATGCATGTAAACATCCCTCACAGTCCGAAAAATAAAATTAATCTGAATCTTAACCAGTTGTGAAATTTCTAAAGGGCCTATATATAAATCACTGTCCAAATGCTTGGATGTGTGAAATGAGATTGAGAGGTTAGAATAATCTATTCTTGCATAATTCACAAGCCATATGTAAAACAATGCACTGAAATATAGCTCAACAATTATTCAGTTGAACTCTGAGGTCATGGGTTTTGTCAAGTCTTTTTGAGGAGTTATACAGATTTAGATTTATTTTTTAGCTTCTGGTTAAAAGCTGATGAAACAAGCTACAGTCAAGTGAACTGAAAAGAAATTATACATCTATTAAAGGAAGATTAAAGGCAGCGACCTCATAGCTATGGTTTAAACCAATTTCATACCCTGATAAGGGCCTACATTATGAATCTAAAGGTGTTGAGACAAATCAGGCATTGCACATCTAAAATGAGACATACATACAGTAATATACTGCAGGAAGTGTTATGTTTCCTGCAGATCTACTTTCCCTCAATCATGTGCAGCATTAATTAACAATTATTAAACGAGGTGTAAAAGGTGCCATTTTTCCTTTATTGTACCGTGTTTTAGCTTTTGAAATTACAGTAAACTGTTTGAAATGTCTGTTTGTGTTTGTGCCAACATTTAAATTAACATATAAAGCAAGGGAGCGAGTAGAAGTGGGCATGTCAACTGTCAGGTTATGTAAATGTGGGGCGAAGACAGGAACACAGCCAGGACACCACACCACACAGCTGGAAAAGCATACGCATCTCTGATCAGAATCGATCTCTTTCAATCCTCTACAGCAACATGATCTTCCAATACCCACACAGGGTCAAAATCACATCAAGACATGTCTGCAAGACATGCAAATAAAAACAACTCTGAAAATGGATTTAAGAAAAAAAATACATCCATATTTATTTTACAAGAAGGGTACTTTTGTGACACAAACAATAAACTACATGCTGTCATAATTCTGAGGGTTATTATCTTTGACATCATTTTCATGAATGGACACCAGAAACATGTAAATGAATGAATAAATAAATAAATAGTCAGTGATTGTTGCATTTTACTGTCAATTATAATTCTGTCTGGAGTAAACATACAGTTTGCATCACACACTACGGATTTTTGACAATTAAAAGCACTTGTGTTCATCATGAATACATTTTGAATATTATTGTACAACACTCTATCCCTGCTCTCCCCTAAATGCTGCCATTTATATTACATTTTATTTTATTTTATTTCTTTTTACTCAAGCTTTGTTACTGAATTGAAGTCGAGGTAGGGTCATTGTCCTAACCAGACTGAGTTAGCTCATCTTTATTAAAATGTGTTAAACTGTGCTACACCCACTGTGTCCCTCAGTTGAGGGAGAGGAGGGATTCTGCACCATCAGATTAGTTTACGTTCTCATACGTCATGTAATATACATTTATCAAGAGACTGTGCACTGTCACTGTAGTGCACAAAAGCAATTTGTAGGTGTACCCTAGAGGGAATACTCTGGATCAAACCAAATATTTTGCTTGTGGGACTGTTGCCTGATGTTGCCCTTCTCCAAAATCAAAGCAGTAGCAGCTGGAAAAATGACTCACTGGGTTGACAAAGTCAAGGCTCAGAGGGGTTTATACGTGGAGCCATAATACAGGAGAGATCATTTCCACTCTCAGCTGGAGGCATGCTACTATAAATATATGCATACAGCATATATAAAAAACACCTGGAAATGCTCAACATGGCAATGATGTCACAACAAATGGCAGCTTCTCTTCATCATTAAGAACACCCCTACCCCAAAGCTTTAGCTTATAAAACATCTAAACCACAGCAAAAGCTACAGAACAGCCACATTCAGCCAAAAGCAGGAATTTTGGGAACAGCAATAACAATAATAAAAATAATATGGCCAGGTGGAGCTTTGATGCAGCACTTTGACTCAGACTGCAGAGTGGAAGCAGTAGACCCTGTCTGTTTAATAATAAATGCAATCTGTGTTAACATCGAGAACGCGCATCAAGTCGACAGACGCAGCCAGGAAAAAATGAGGAAAAGAAGGATAGAGGATGGGTTTGAGGGGGGCAGGAACTAAATCTACCCTGAGGCACCTCCCACCCATATCCTGACAGTGTATGTGCAGCCCAGTCACACGTTTGAGCTGGTTTGTGTTTGGAAATGATGAGGGAGTAAATTAAGAGGAAGCGAAGAGTAAAAATGGAGGGTTTCTGAGCTGATATGGTTGAGAAGACATAGGACAGGGAAGGTGGAAGTGGCACTCAAACTAAAATTTGAGCATCTGGAAAATTTTATTTATCAATAACACAAAATAATCCAGACCCCACTTCATAAATTTTCAATTTTTTGGAGCAGCAAGTGGCAGGAGCCGAGGACAGGGTGGGAGAGAAGATGGCTTGCTTTTGCGCAACAAACCAAGCTACATATTGAGCTACCCCCACCCCCACCCCCTTGTCACCATCTAAATAGCATCAGATTTTCCAGAGCAGGAAAATCAAATGCTTTGTTCAAGACCATTTGCTTCCTATTGGATCAGTTCTTCCTTTTCCTGATGTGCCTTCATGGACACACGTAGCACACGGTGGATGTTCAGTGTACAATGTCAGAAAGCATGCAGTTGAGCAGTTTCTCCCCAGCAAGACTGAACATGGCAGAAAGATTCGCTGGACAGGCTTTAAGTACAGAACTAATTATGTCTTACTCAAATAATTATGTTTGCAATGCTCAGACTTTGTAATTACAAAACTCAAAAAATCATACATTTTAATTTTATTCAACTACATCTATCTCTAATCTTTTCTTATGTGTCCTTGATTTTAATTGCCACAAATATATAAAACTTAAAATTAAAGCATGACTAAGTTTTGAATGAGGATATAACCCAGTTTTTCTCTTACAAATGAAAAGCTGAATCCACAGTCAATAAAACACTTACGTCTGGTAGCTGCTTATGGTTGCAAATGTTAATTAATGTTAAGTTATAAATCAGTTTAGCTGCATAACTCGACTTTAATTGCTACTGCTAAACCATGTTTTAGTATTTACTTATCAAGTAATTGTCAGTTATGACCACAATTGCAGATTTTCACCAAATGTTACAAAGTGGAACTTTAAACTCAAAATCTACTTTTGACGTAAAAGTATTTATTTATTTATTATCTTTTGCAAACTAACTTTGAAATATAAATTTTATCAATGCAAGAAAATGACCTAAGCACAAATATACTGTAATACTTTAATATTTAAAAATACAAAAAAAATGTATCCGGCAGGAGAACTTGTACCACAAATCTGTGGTCATCAGGAACATTCTGGAATAAAGATTAACTTACACAAAACTGCCTTTTGCAAAAAGAGTTTATTCTAACTAATCTCAACACTTACTGTGATTTGTAATATTTAAGTACCGTGCACTCACAAAGACAAATTTCTGGACAAAAAAAAAAAAAAAATTCTGTAAAAACATGTGAGATACCTTGAAGATAAGCCTGATCTCCATGGTTTGTCCTGGAACCTACCTTTACAAACAAAGCAACAGCCACACTGCATGCACCACATTGCCACTACAGCACAGCATAGATATTTTCCAAAATCAGATATATTCAAGTTTGCAAAAGGTTATTAAGTGCCACTTGCATTTCAGCAATCAACTCTGCTGCTGCTGCTCCTCCTCTGTCCAAACACAGAAGTGTTAATTTATAGATTTACATTCTTTCTTAATTATTGACTGATGGCATTGGCCAAAAATAGAATCATTGGTGACATTTTAAATTGGCAAAGGAAGGACTTAAAACTGAGGGCTGCCAAAGGAGATGGTGTAGAGATGACAGATGGGGTTAGAAAATAGAAAGATATAACACAGATGTAAAGGACTGTGCTGACCAAGGAAGAGAGAAGAGGTTGACAGTGTTGAAGAAATATGGGCAGCATCAAGGAGCAAGGGAACATGGAGAGTGGGGAAATGGAGAGGAGAGGAGAGGGCCCTTGAGAGGGTGTGATGAAGAGAGGCAGATAGGGGAGACAAAGCTAATGAAAACAGGGAGTGAGGAGAAATGGTGGAAACTTCAGTTGAGTCAGTCTGATCGGTTCCAGTGGGAATGACTGAGGAGGAATCAGAAGAAGATACAAGTAGACCATAGGAATTACTTTTCTGTCCTTCTCTCTCTCTCTCTCTCTCTCTCTCTCTCTCACACACACACACACACCAGTTGGAATTCAAACACATCAGGTTTTATAAGAATCTGGAGAAACTGCATGATGACATTGGTAGGGGGCTGTAAAGATAAAACTGTTATAAACATATGGCAACTTTTCTTATGGAACTGAAATCCATTATCTACCACCTGCTTGTTTTAGTTTGGATCACAACATTGTTACTTTGGTGTCTGAAGTAACTGAAATAAAAACAACACTGCAACACAGTTGTGTCAATTTTGCAAAAACATTATCATTAGAAATGTTCTTAAAAAAATAAATAAATAAAATAACTTCAATAAACAGCTGTTTTTACTGCACCAAAACCGATTAACCCACAGTGTCCTCCCTCCCATGAAACACTTATAAAGCACCTACAAGACATTTTGCTAATAATTAATACATCTTACTCCACTGTATATACTGCGTTGAGGTCCTCCCAGGATAGTGTCAGTACTGTACAGTAAACACATGCAGATGTATACATGTGCACATAACTAGTGTTCTGCTTTAATACTCACATTATCAACATTTATCATCAAATGTGTCAATTTCATCAATAAATGCTGAAGGTATTTTGCAGATAGTTACATGTATGCCCAGGTTAAAGTGCCTTTACTTTAAAACATTCTGTAGGTTTTGCCCTCGTAATGCTTTTTATTGACAGTGTTAAGGGCCAGGCACTGCTCCCCTGCCAGGCACGTTCTGTCTTCTTTCTTTTACTGTCCTCCCGTGTAAGCTTTTCTTCCCCTTTTGGATACATGCATGCCATCACATGCTCCAGTTTTTTCCTTTTCTCAACATAACACAGTTTTATGCTGTCCGTTCTGTGTTATGGGGTTGATCGTTTCCAGTGTGACCTCAGTATCGCTGTCTAGATTCCCAGAGATGGCTGGGGAGAGGTTCTCTATGGTGTTGTTTACCATCCCCACCTCAATCTCGCCTCTACATCCTTCTTTCTTTTGTAAATCATCCTCCTGACAAAGGATGCTGTGGGGAATCACATAGCTGGCTGAATGGTTGCCCTCCTTTGGGATGTGACTCCTGGGCTCATACTGACAGTTGGGGTTTGAGGTTGGGGCACCCATGTTGTTAATACTGACGGTCTCAATGGCATTGTTGCCCGGGCAGAGCCGGTGGCAGCCCAGCAGGATGGAGAAGGCCTTGCGGAAGTCGGCGTTGAAGGCATAGATGATGGGGTTGAGCGAGGAGTTTGCCCACCCAAACCACACAAACACATCAAAGGTGGTGGAGCTGATACAGGGGAAGTCTGTGGCACCATCGGGCAGGATCGGCTCACAGAACGGAACCATGCAATTCAGGATGAAGAAGGGCAACCAGCAGCACACAAACACTCCCATGATGACTGAGAGTGTCTTTAAAACTTTGGTTTCTCGTTTAAATGACATTTTGAATGAGCTCTCACTGTCCATGTTTGAATTATTCCCCATGCTGCTGTGACGGTTTTTGGCACTCTCTGCTGCGCGCTCCAGGGCAGATATTCTCCGTATCTGTTTCTGGGCAATTCGGTAGATCCGGGTATAGGTGACGATCATAATAGCAACAGGAATGTAGAAACTGATAAGGGAAGAGGAGATAGCATAGGTCCGGTTAAGGCTGGAGTCACAGTTGTCAGGGAGAAGATCACTGGGGTATGTTCCATTTAGCTCTGTGTAGCTGGTGGTCTGAGCTTTGTGCCAGTTGAGCTGAACAGGAATGAAGGAGATGAGGACAGATAGTGTCCACGCCATGCTGATCATCAGACACGCCACTTTAGGGGTCATCTTACGTTCGTAGCGGAAAGGGCTCGAGATGGCCCAATAACGGTCAACACTAATCACACACAGGTTCAAGATGGAGGCAGTGGAGCACATAATGTCAAATGCCACCCAGACACTGCAGAACTTGCCAAATGGCCAAAAGCCCATGATCTCTGTGGCTGCCTTCCATGGCATTACCAAGATAGCTACCAGAAGGTCAGAGATAGCCAGTGAGATGACAAAGAAGTTGGTGACCTTCGACCTCAGGTGTCGAAACTTGGTCACAGCGGCACACACAAGCGTGTTGCCCAGCAACGTGGTGAAGATGAGGAGGGAGAGGAAGCATCCTGTCAACACACGCCTGGATGAGTCTCTGTCTGGCAGCAGCTGCTTGCCATCTCGGACTGTTGAGAAATTCTGATCCATTGTTTATATTACACTACTAATAATTTGAGAGAGGGGGTGGGCGAGTGGGCTGTCAACAGTCACCCCATCACATCCCCAGCCTGCAGCAGCTGTGCCTCCCTGGGGAAGAGTTTCAGACATACAGCGTAGCTGGTGGAGAGGTCAACTGTCTCAGCACCAGATCCCCCACAGACTGGGTCATCCATAGGCTCCATGTCACAACCATCATTCTTGCACAAGAGCTACAATGTGGCATTCAAAAACGTGTCTTCAGAAATTTGTCTCACAATAATGCCTGGTTCAGAAATTCCTGCAGTAGCAGTGCAGGCAGCAGACATTCTAGTTTGAAAGGGAAAAGAAATATTCCTCTTTCCACTGTGATCACAAAATAGTATGAAGCAGCAGTAAAGATGTTATTTAATGAAAAGTTCTTGTTCCTTTTCTCCTCTCACCATATGCCTCAGCTGTCAGCCCTAAGCAAAGGTGTCACACCACATCAACAGGCTTGGCCAATCACTATCCTTATATACAGTACTACCTCATCAGTAACTTGAATTGATGGTTGTCTACATTTATCTGATTTGTTTAATGATCCCAGAGGCGTGTCTGCAATGAAGCAGATCCACCCCAGCTGCCAGATGTTTTCTTTCATTTCTTCATTTCTTTGGATGCAGCTCCCTTTTAGTAAATGGCACAGTCTCCAGCCAACATTTCCACCTGAGCAGTGAGGCAAAAATTAGGTTGAAAACGGCATTTAAATATCTAAACTGTCCATTTTGATAGCAGGGACATGCATCTTAAAAGTCTAATTCGTCACATTTAGGGTAGCACATCAATAACACAGTTCTTTTTATGCTGATGGACATAATCCAGATGTGAGGTCTTCTTCCCCTTTTGGTTTGCATGCGAACACGAAAAAGCGTTCAAAAGCTTTTCAAAACCATTGGGGAGATGTTTTGATATAAGTTATCTCCTGGGTTGACGTTTTTGAAATTTGCGCAAGTTATTCTTTATTTTTCTAAAATTTATGAGACCCTACGCTCCGCTGTGGACACCTCGAGACCCGCGTCAACGTTAGGAGTAGGTTTAAAAATAATTGATTCCAAAAGCAATTTCACGAACTAATGGAATTTTTTTTGGCCCCAAAATTCACATGTCTTCGGCATACATCCAACTTGTATCTTGGTACCAAGTGAAGGGGAAGGAGCTCACCCTCTCTGCGCTGTGCTCATTCAGTCACGCTCCCCTGCTGTGATGGTCCTCAGGTGTTTTGTTTGTCCTTATGTTTTTCGATTGGCGTCATCCTTTGTTGAGCAACATTTTGTTACTCTGTTATGTGTTTGCGGTCCGACTGGCCGGCGAAGAGTGATGGGAACGACTATGGTCTACCCAAGACCGTTTTTAATGCGCGCTCCTCTCTCTCCACTCAGCTGCTGCTGCGCACCACGGTCTCTGCCACAACTGCTCTATCTATCCAGGGAGGCTGTAAAGGGTAAAGGGTTGGAATTACACTGTACACTTTTGAGAGGGTCTCTTTTTCTTGCTCCACATGACAAGGACGTATGGCTAAGACCATATGTCTGAAATTCAAATTTTTATTGAAGCCGGATCTGTCAGAAAATTGGACCGCTTCAAGAGAACGAGACTTTATTAAGCTGTTGTTGCTTCTAATACAAAATATTACAACTAAATTGTCTCATAATTAATTTGTTATTGCCTGGGAAAACCGCTATGAGAAGGTATTGATGACATGAGAGAACCGCTGCTGAACTGAATGTGCTGTCAGAAGTGCATTCCAGCCTTTCCTTGAGAATCACTGATCTGACATAAAGTCCGCGCACAATTATTACGCGTGGCTGCACAAAACAACATATAAATGCAGCCAACGAGTCATGCTAAACAAAATATACCCTCCCATATTCCCATTAGTCATTTTAAAGGCATTATTGAAATCAGTCAGGTGCAGTGACAGCAGAGCTATGCGCACATTTATAGCTGGGTATAATAATTGAATAAGCTTTTCTTTAATCTGGCACCCAATTGCTTTTCTCATTTGCAGTACAACACAAACTTATTGTTGCATGTTTAAATCATTCTTTTTATTTTCCCGCACTGTTCTAGGTCTGACCTACAATGACAAAAACACCACTGCTGTAAAGTCACAAAAATAAAAGCGGAGTTAAAAATGAAGGCGCTGTGATGTCCTAAGATGAACTTGTAGGCATGAACACAAGGCACAATGCGGCCATCTACTGGACAGAAGGTTGCAGGAGACTAAGTGAGTGGGAGCTGCGTGTTGTTACATTAACGTCTCTACAGTAAACATGACTAAACAACTCGAAATTTTACTAGAGTCCCATGAGCCACGCAGCAGCAGACGCGCGAATAAAGAGAGACAATAATGTGGAAATATAGGCTGTGTGTGCGTGTGAGTGAGACACTACAGATGTGAGATAGAGAAGCTAATGTTATCATGTTGCTGGCTGCCTGGCAGGCCCTGTCTACTTTGCATATTAACTGTTTAGCCAGTTGAAATCTTCAATTCCGCGCGTTTGTGTGTGTGTGTGTGTGTGTGTGTGTGTGGTCGGGATCTCTTGTTGCGCATGTGTTTCTGACTTTGTATGTGTGTATCCATAACTATGTTTATGCGTCTTTGTTTGCTCATGTGTACTCCTATTTGTGTATGTGTGCACTCGCGTGTGTGCGTGTGTGAGTAATGCATGTAGACAAGCCAAGTGTAAGAGGCCTGGCAGATACAACGCCCACATTTCCCTGTAGCACAGAGCCAGGGTGTGCGTGCAGCCCACAAAGTTCAAACCAAGACCACGTCACATACAAACACACACAGAGATTCGTTCACTCACTCACACGCACGCACACAAAACCAGCCATGCAGGGTCATTTATGTCTGCTCCAAAAAGCAAACAAAGTAGAATGGAACAGAATAGTACACACACACACACACAAACCACTAGAACACTATAGACATTTCTTTTTGGGATGACTTTTTGATATTTTTTTTTTTTTAACATTACTTTGCAGCTGTTTTCTCTGTATTTTCCCATGTGGCAGTGTAGAGGCCAAAAATAAAAACAAAAGCCCATCCTTTAGTCCTAGGATTTTAAAGTCCAAATTCAAATCTACACGTTTCTTTAATGACTTGAACGCTGGTCTGAGCAAGCAGAAAGCATCTTCTGCTGGTTTGATTGAAATGAATGTAAAAAATAGTGAACTGGTGTCAAATGATGTGTAACTTTTCATGATGCCCAAAAAGTGTGGCAGTTTGCCTCCTGACATAAAATTAATCAAGTGACTTTATTTGACATCCTGCAAACCCCTTGTAAGATGCAATTAATTGGAGGAGACAACCTGAAAATTCTGGCATGGCTTCTCACCTCACATGTATGGTACTGATCTCTGTGGAGGGGAAAGTGCTTCCCTTTAATATCCAAGGGTTCATCCTTAACCCAGTTCAATTTTAAAATATTAAGCATGAGCAGAGATTTAGTCATTCAAGCCAATATTGAAATGCAGAAGATTTGAGACTGTCAGGGGAGACAAAATCTGCAGGGGACATCTCAGAGGTTATTTTTTCAATGCTCCGCAAGTTTTATAATACAGGATATTTGAAAAAGTGAATAAGATTCAGAAAGCAACGATGTAAACACAATTAATGCTATCATAATAGATAGCTGCTGCCAGAAGGAATCTGCAATGCCAAGCTACATTATTCAACACCCCACCGACGTACGTAAACATTCATCCTTTAAAGCAAGATTAAAGATATTCAGGAGACATTCCTGAGTGTATCACCCAAATTTGGAATTCAAATCTTGTGCAGTAAAGTCACAAATGTTAATGTAGCATCCAATTAAAATCACAGTGTTTTACGACATTTACCGGATGCAGCATTCATTTATCATTAACTGGAACCTTGTTGTTTTGTTATACAGAAAGTAGGGCAATTACCTCAAAACAACAGTGAGTACTTCGCATCCAGTGATATAATCTGACTTGATAGCATCTAACAAGGTACAATAGCAAAAACAACAACAACAACAACAAAAAAAACAGGAACGATTGTAACACTTTGTGAAATATTTAAAGTTTACTCTCCAAAGAGCAATAATACTCTGCAGTAGAAGAAATCTCCTTTATAGTGACAATAAAAGTGAGACTTGAATCAATGTGATCACTGCCAGATGAGTGTTTTTCAAGTCTGTCAACAGCATTAAATGATTCTCTGTGAAATGACTCACTGAAAACCACATTAAAAACATTAACAACTGTCAGACGTTACATGTCACATGCTATATTTTACCGAGCTATTACATGGCACTGAGCAGCCTCTTTGTGTGTGTGTTCGGGTGAGAGGACAGAGAAAGAACCCACATAACAGA